CTCCTGCATGTCTCCGTCTCTCACGTCCCCTCAGATCCCTCAAGTCTCCTCAGATCTGTATTCCTGCTCAGTAACCCTCTCTTCATTGTGTCTAAGCAGCTACCTAATCTGTGCTGAGTATCCTGTTTGAATGACCACATTTTCCATTTTGAGAATTTCTAGTATTTTTATTCTGTCGTTCCTTTTTCATCCGGGTGTATTTTTATTGTTACTTGCATTGTTTCCTTATTATTTTACACAGTGAGCAGGTCGCCTCGTGCCTCCTAGTCTGTTATTTCTAATTCTCAGGGTCTGATTCTTTTACCTGCTGCTTCTCTGCCTCTATCTGCCCCATCCTAGTGGGTTATTTCCGCCTTGATCCCTAATTTTGGTTGAGTTGGGGTGTCCAGCTTACCCCAGATCCAACGTCACTGCAGCGTGGCCTCTATTTGCTTCTGGGTTTCAGCAGCTCTGAAATGCCGGTCCCACCAAACAGAATGCAGTGTGTGCACAGCTCCCTGCATCCCGGCGGGCACGCATCGCCTGAGGTTTGGGGCAGGGAACCCAGACGGACATCAGCAAGGAGGAAGGGCCCTGGTTTCCCAGGGCACGGGGGTGTTCACACAGGAGAAGCCAGGTGAGGAAGCATAGGTGGGCGGCAGGCCGACGATCCCCCAGGAGGGAAACTGAGGGACACAGCGGGCACCAGCCCGGGCCGCGGCCACAGTGGCCGACACTGTCTGTGTCCACCCCATGTCGCTGGGGTTTCTTCTTATTCTTTTTTTAGGAGTTAGGACATTGTGTTAGATTTTTTTTTTTTTTTTTGCTTTCTTGCTTTTTGCTTTTGACATATAGCTCAATACGTCAGGAGAGCCCTGCCAGGACATAAATCCATAGCTGTTTTCAGGACAGCAAATTGCGTGCCGATGAGTGACACTTAAATGCTGAATTTTCATGGCTTGTCAGAAGTGAAATGTATTTTTTTTATTTAATCCATAAGAGAACAATGTGTCCACCCATGAAACTATGCTGCCTGCAGGAGACACGAGTGTAAATACAGCAAACAGACTTTATGCCTTGATGAGTATATTTGTGTTAAAGAAGGAAGTCCCCCGTTAAACCCCACTTTCCCTCCTTCGTGAGGCGGCTCTTGGTGGCGGGGAGTCGCTGTCTGTCCTGGACGGCTTCCCGGCAGCCGCCCCACAGGGTGACCTGGGCGTGGTGACTGCAGGGCTTCTGGACAAGCTCGTTCTTAAACCATTGTGTCACAGAACCGAGCTCGGGAAGCAGCAGGACAGAAGGCTCCTCAGGGGAGACACAGGCCCCCAGCACCTCGGGGCTGCCACCCACCCGTGAGCCTGTCATGACCAGGGCGGAAAACGTGAGGCAGCGAGTGGGTGGCCGGGCTGAGGAATCAGAGGATAAGTTCCACGTGACACGGCACTGTCGGCAACTAGGGTCAGATGAGGGACCCAAAGCAGTGTGGGTACACACACGTATGTTTGCACGTGTGAGCATGTGTATGTGAGCATGTGCACGTGATATGTACACGTGCGTGTACATGTGTGATCCGTGGGTGTGCACACGGGTGTGTGGCTGTGCACTGTGCACAGGTGTGCCTATGAGTGAGTGTGTGTTCACGTGTGTACGTGTGTACGTGTGCTGGTGGGTGTGAAGGCGGTGACAGCCCAGGTTCTGAGTGACAGCCACATGGGACATTCATAACAAGGACGGTTCCAGGGCAAACCTCAGGCCAGCAGCCCAGAGTCTGCATCCTCACGGCCACCCTCACCTGCTCCCCGCCCCCCCAGGAGGAGGCAGTAGGGGTCTTCAGCACATTTACGACCCGGAAGGGTGACAGTGCGGAAAAACCGCTGTGGTTAGTCAACAGCCTTTGTCCTTGGAGCCTCATCGTCCTGACAAAACCTGGGGTCTGAGTGCTGCCATGTCAGTGGTAGGGACGGTGACAGTGGACAGTCTGGGGTCCATCGCACCGAGGCTTCACGGGAACACCTGTCAGGAGGGCCCAGGTGCATTTTAGCATCGCTGTCACCATCATGTGGAGAACACATCCACATCTCTTGGAAAATGGTTGTTTTTCTGGTGTTTGGCCTGATGCACAGACCTAACCAACGGAGCAGAAACTTTGCAATAATCCCCACTGGAAAAAATAGGTGTATGATCTGGTAACAGCCGTCATAAGGTGGGGACAGAGTATTGAAATAAATATATTAAATATTTGGAAATACTGATATTCATAAAACGTTTCAAAATATTTGGTTTAATTGGACTTCACGGCAGCCCTTACTGACTGTCCACACACACCCGGCAAAGAAACGGTCACGAAGAAGCTCAGTCACCCCCTCCCGCCGCCCGCCTCTGGAAACAGTTTGGTGGTTTTGGTTTCTTACAGAACTAAACGCACTCTCACCACACGACCCAGCAATCGTGCTCCTTGGAATTTACCCAAAGGCGCTGAAAACTATGTCCACACAAAACCTGCAGAGGATGTTTACAGCAGCTTCACTCATAATCGCCAGGACACAGAACAGCCAAGACGCCCCTCAGTGGGCGATGGATAAATAAACTGCGGTCCATCCCGACCATGAGACCGTGCCCAGCACCTAAAAGCAACGCGCTCCCAGCCATGAAAAGACACGGAGGAGCCTTATGTGCACGTTGTATCATAAGTGACAGAAGCCAGTCTGAAAAGGCCACGCACTGGATGATTGCAACTATATGATGTCCTAGAAAAGACGAAACCAAAGACAGTAGGAAGGTCGGGGTGGCCAGGGGCTGGGGGTGGGGTAGTCGGCGTTTAGGGCCAGGAAACCGCTCCGTGTGACACTGATGCTGGGTCTGTGTCCTTGCACATTTGTCAAAACCCATAGAATGTACAAAATAAAAAGTAACCCTAACATAAACCATGGGTGCTAATTTATAATGTGTCAATACTGACTCATTAATCGCAGCAAATGTCCCATGCTAACGCGAGATGTGAATAATAAGGAACTCCTCCGGGGGGCGGGGTGAGGGGACAACTGAAATTCTGCTCTTTCAGCTCGACCTTTCTGTAAATGTGGAAACGCTCTAAAAATAAATCTTTTGATTAAAAAGCGTATTTGCCTCCGTGTTCAACCACCGCCATGAATGAACCAGCTCCGTGTGTCTCAAACTCACTCTGAACACCAAACCCCCGAGGAATCGAACTGTGACGTGAACCGAACCCCAGCTTCACGGGTCCTGGTTACAGTCGGGGCACAGAGAGGAAAGGGGTGTGAAAATGGGGCGGCGCCATATAGGTTCCTGACAAAGCTGGGACACAGACCCTAAAATTTCACCAGGGCAGAAGCACCCTTGCCCCTCCTGCTGACGAGGTTACGTGGGCTTCGCCTGGGGGGCCTGTGATGCCAGCAGCACCCCTCCACCCGAGGCGACCAGCTCTCCAGCCCTGTCATTGTCTAGTCCTCAGGGGCCTCAGTCATCTGTCCTTCCCACAGGACATGTGCACACGATGACATTCTGCTGACAGGACCTCCGACAGGAAGGAGCAGCCCTTCCACACGCACGGGTGAGATGGCTGCGTGTCAGAGGCGGGGGCAGGCGGGGTGCTGTCGGGAGCCTTCAGGGCCCCTGAAGGTCAGTCCCAGCGCAGACCCTTAGGACCTGGGGGCAAACACATGGCATCCTCTGCCGATGGCTCCCCTTCTTTGAAGAAACTGCTTTTGGGCTTTGTGGAGACTGCACACTGGACATTGGGCCCCCAAGTTGCCAGGAGACGTGATTCGATTCCCGGAACGAGGTGCTGGGGCCCCAGCCGCTCTCAGCTCACTGTCTCCCTGGCCACTCGCTCTCAGCGGCAGCTCCTGCCGCTGACCCCCTGCCTCCCGGCCCCCCAGCTTCTCGGGCTCCCTGAAGAGGGGCCGGCTTCTGTCATGAGAGCGGACGTGGGCTGCCGTCCTCCTGTCCTTGACGTCCTGTTTTGTACCCATCGTCCCCTCCGCAGACCTCAGGTGCCAGGTGCACAGACAGCAGCCCCCAGTATAACCAACCCCGTCACTGACCAGACGCAGGCTCCCGGCGGCTCGGCTCCTGACTGCCCCTCCCTGCACCTGGTCTGGGGAGAAAGGGTGCCTCGGTCCCAGGACTCGGACGGAATGAATCCACATAATTCTTCGCTGCGGAACTTTCCGGTGCTTAAGAAGCCAACCTCGAACACCCAGAAGGAGGAACAGAGCAGGCAGTTTCCCAAACGTGGGACCAGACGTTTTCTTTATGCGCCATTCACAAGCCCCGTGGGCGCGTGGCGACCGAGAGCTGGGCGGCTCCCTGGTCCCTCACCGCCAGGCCTGGCCCCTGGTGATGCCCTTTAGGTCCTGACCAGGACACGCGGACTCACCCTCCAGCTCCAGGCTGCGTCGGCCCTTGTCTGGGCCGTAATCACGTGGAGCCTGACCATAGGGCTCCCCCCTCAATCTAAGAAAAGACAGATGTACCCTAAATGATTAATAGTTACATATGATAATTTTTAGATTATTGCAATTGGTTAAATTATCTTAGCGCCCTAGGAAGCCAACAAGTACCAGGAATCTCCCATGACTAAACAGAGAGGCAAAATTTGCAGAACAACAGTGGGCGGGGACAGATTCTCCCAGGTCGACCAGGATGGGTTTGGATGGTCTGTGGAGATGAGCACCCACCGCCCAGGGCACTCTGCCCATGACCTCTGCGTGCTCTCCACTGTCCCAAGCACAGCCATCACGTTGGGGCTTCCGGCTCGGCTCAGTCGACAAACCGGGGCCACCACCAAGCGCCAGGCCCCAAGCCCCGGAGCTCCTGCCCAGGCCTGCCCGCAGCGCCCCCGCCCACCGGACCCCGCTAGCTTGTCCCCTTCCAGTCCCCCGCTGCCTAGGAGGCTTGTGGGCTTAGAGAAGCCACGCCTTTGCTGAGGGCCCCTGCCTCACCGGACACGTCCCCTCCGGCCTCTAGCCTGGTGTGATGGTGAGGGCCCAGCCTCCTACCTGTGCGGGAAAGCTTCTGCAGGGTGGCGGCCAGGTGCTGCAGGACCCCCGGCGGAACCTCGTAGCGGTACATGTCGAGCGCCGGGACCTTCTGGCATCTTCCAAACACCCCATCTGTGAGGAAAGGAGGCAGAAAAGAGAAGGTGATGTCTCATTTCAGACAGGAGGGAGAGAAGACACCGGTCCTCGCAATGATCCTGACTGTGCTGAGGCTGGACGCTGATTCAGAAAGTCCCCACAGAGCTCTCAGCATTCAGCATCGGGGGGCAAGGGCTGAGTCACATAAACCTCACGGCACAGGCAACGCAGGAGAAAACGGGATCCAGTGCGGTCGTTCCCGCCCCATCCCCCCAACTCCTCATTTCCTGCGATTCCCTGGCCTGGCTTTCACATTTTTGGTTGTTTTTGTGTTTTGTTTTGTTTTGTTTTTTAAGATTTTTATTGGGGAATTGGGGGAAAGGGAACAGACAAGTTGCTGTCCTTTTTGTTCTTCAGTCTAGTTGTGGAGGACGTCACTTCACTGGCCCAAGTTGGCACCATCATTGCGCTCTTCCCGGGCGAGGCGGATCAGTCGCTGGCTTCTGGACGGTCACTCACGGTGGCTGCTGGCCACTCACTGTGGCTGCTGGCTATACACGCTGGCTGCTGGCTACACACGGTAGCCCATGGCAACCCACTGCAGCAGGGGCTGCAGTCTACGCCGTTGCCGGCGACTCACGGCAACCCAGCTCCAGGTTGAGCTGTTGTTCAGCATCTTAGCTGTGGAGGGCAGTGTCACTGGCCCTCATATGTGGGATCCGAACCGGGGCCCTCTGGTGTCCCAAGCCAGCTCTTAACCATCATGCCACTCGGCCGGCCCGGCTTTCACATTTTTGATACGAAGCTTTGCTTCTGACAATCCAGTGACACAAAAGTCAGGAACATTCATGGCGGTTTTCCTGTGTGAAACAGAACAGCAGGAGGTATAGGTATTGGCTCGCAGAAGCCAGGAGGCCCATGGATGCACCTTCCCGAGGGCAGCCTGGGGAGGAGGGGGCTGCCAGCCGGGCAGGACCCGGGCCCTTCTGAGAACTCAGCACAGGACAGGTGCTGGGGACAGGGAGGTGTCCGTGGGGGCCAGTCCACCCGGCCTCCTCCGTTTGTCTGTGATGCAGGCTCTGCTCAGCCTCTCACACCACACCCTCCAACGCGTTCAGGCCCCAATCGCCTTTATTCGGCCAACTGTTCACTTTGAGACGAGCTTCCTGGGGTACACAAACGTTCGAATTACCGCCTTCCCGACACATGAAACCCTGATTCAGGGACCCGCGCCTCTTCGCACAGGGCGGCCATCTGCAGGTTCAGGCTGGGACGGAGGGACACGCTTCCTGCGTTGTTCACAAAGGTCCCAATCTCCCAGTGTCACTAAAGAAAGCCACTCGGATGCAGCGAGTTTCACCTGCAGACGCACATTTGCCGGTCAGTGCTGGGCTGACACCACAGATGCTTCAGGCGGATGGCGCCGTGTGGTAGCGTAAAGTCACCATAAGAACCACACGCCTCACGTGGATTCTAGGGACTTGGCAAAGCCCAGAGGAGCTGGGAGGACATGCTGCCGGGAGCAGGCGCACTACAGCCATGGAGACCCTGCCGCTCGTCCCTGTCACGCTGGGCTCCCAGGCACCACCCCGGCTCAGGCTCACCCACATTCGTGCAGTGGCTACATACACCCGGAGTTACGCCAGTGACAGTTCTCAGCAGGGCCCTGTCCCCACTGTCACCACCCAGCCAAATGCAGGCCGCTCGGCGAGTACACAGACAGTAAGTGTCCCTGTGGCGCTGGCTGCTGTGGGGCAAGGACTCGGGAGGAGGAAGAGGGAGGGAAAACGAAGGGCTCTCTAGAATGCACCTGCACAGTCCGTTTTACTTTTCAAGGAGAAATATATTGAAAGCAGAACCTGGGCTAGAAGGAGCATTGAGACGGTCAGACCCCACGTGTTACGGATGAGAAAACTGAGGCCGTAGGAGGGTCAGCAGATGAACGGGAGGAAAAACCAGGCTCCTGGGCTGGAGCCTCGTCAGCAAGCGGCCTGCTCGGCTCCAGGGGCCACCACCGGAGAAGCACCTGCCTCAGGGCCCCCAAATCCTCGGGTTTTCACAGGGAAAACGGCCAAGGGCATCTCCTATCTACTGGGAACGTTCCAAGTAAGTTACTTCTCTCTGTTTGTGTTGCTTATGTGCGTGTGTCTACATGTGTGTATTGTAGTGTGCATACATGTGCTGTGTTTGTGTGTGTATGCATGTGCATGTGTTGTTACATGTGTGTTACTGTGTGAGTCTGTGGTTGTATACATGTGTCTACATACATATGTGTGTGTTGTTTATACGCACCACATGTCTACATGGATGTGCATATCCGTGTGCACACACATACACGCAGCCCTCTAACATTTGTCTGCCTGACAATCGTACTGGAGCCCAAGGGCACTGCTGTCGCAATGTCACCGATCACCTGGGAACAGGTACTGCTGCGAGCTGCTGGAGACAGGTTCCCATTGGCCCTCAGCATGCAACCTCGCTGCCGTCTGTTTCCTCTGCAAGGCTGTGCACTCTCGTCAGCACACGCTACCCATTTCCTGTCCCCGAACCTGCTTCACACCCTGACCTCAAGAGAGGCGCAGCTGCTTTAACATCCCTCTGGATGGACGGACAGAACAGCCGCCAGGGGACACACACGGACACAGGGCACAGGCGCGTGGCACAGACGGGCAGCTAATGACACACGAGTTATTCACTCTTAGTTGTGATGCGGTGACAGAAGGACAGGCTCCGTGGACAGCACAAAGGGGCTCCTCATCCAACAGGGCTGGCTGGGAGGACAGCCAGGTGGGGGCAGCCTGTGGAGGGAGGGAAGCACCCGGTCACCGGAGCTCAGGGACTCAGGGGACAGAGCTGCAGCACGGGGCAAGCTGGGAAGGTCACACCCAACCCGAGGTCCCAGGAGCTGCCGGGGTGCCGAGGCCCAGCAGGCGGGGCTTGTGGTTTGTCAGAGAGGAGGGAGGCTCTGCGAGGGTGGCGGCCTGGGGACGGGGAACCAGACAGACCCACAGCCTTTTCAGAGGCACCGACAGTGCCGGTGGGGCCAGCTGCGGGACGGCCCCTCCACGTGGCCGTGGCACAGAGGGCTCTGCGGTCAGGGGGAGGTTCTGCAAGACGGCCCAGAAGGCGTGTCTCCGAAGCAGGAACAAAGCCGGCCAGCGTCACAGGAAGGTCAGGGCAACAGCAGGTTCCCCTGACGGCCACAGGCCACAAGCCCTCACTGCCCAGGCCCCCACGGGAGCGCGACTGTGTCCTTCCGGGGGACGTCACCTCCCAGACCTGTGGACAGTGACCACGCAGCCACACACACACACACACACACACACACACACACACACACACACGGCATGGAGTTAAAAGTCCCAAAACAGGGTGAACAAAGAAAGTGCTTTCTGAGGCTGTCCCCAAGTCCCGGTTTCTGAAATGGCAATTCCCCCTTTAGTGTGCAGAGCAGAAAGCCGGGTCCCCACTGCCTCTGGGACGAGAGTGGACGGCTCTGAAGACCGCAAGTGGAGGACGTGCGCAGCCCTGAGGAAGTGACGGCGACCTCCCAGCTGACGGTGCATCACCCACCAGAGGCTCTGCGGACCCACAGCTCTGTTTAGAGATGATTCTATTCACAGTCACCCAGAAGTGGGCGGTGGCTTTCTTCCACTGGGAAGAGAACACTGACAGGGGTTTGCCGATTTCTGGAAGAATGTGAAAACAACAGCTTGCTTATCTTGTCCATTCGTTTGTCCCCTATTCACTCACAAACATCACTGTCCCCTGAACACGGATGCAGGCCTGCCGCAGCGCCCGGCTGCTGGGCCAGCTCAGGCCCAAATCACTTCTCCCTTCATCTGTGGAACTGCGCGTGTCCCCTGGCCCCTCACCACACGTGAGTACACACACATGCACACGCACATGCTCTCACATGGTCCCCACGTGCACACGAGACCCTCCTCGCACCCACACCCCTCACGCCTCGCACCCCAGGGGCAGCGTGAGCTCCCGGACAGCAGGCGTCTCAACCCCATCCTCTGACCCCCCCATTCCCACAGCACCTGACACCGTGCTCTGCAGCCGCTGTGGGTCAAGTAAGAGTTTGTGCCTGATTAACGGGTGTTTTCCCACTTGTCTGAACGAAAACTGAGACACCCGCAGAAATTTGTAAGATCATTAGCTAGAACCCTAACTTGCTGGAACCTCACCTAAACGTAGGAGTCTTCAACCCCCAGCTGATGGCCCGGCTGGACGAAGGACCAGTGACAGATTGCTGAGACCACGCAGGGTGCGAGGGCAGACACTGAAGGTGAGGGCCGGTCTCCCCTTCCTCCCGGGCACTGCACGCCCCCCCCGACCCCCCGTAGGCTCAGGGCCTGGGGCTCCCCCAGCGCGTCCTTTCCCAGCCCACACATGGGAGGCGGTCCTGAGGGGCTCTGTTCTGGGGAGGGACCTCATGCTCGGACACTCTCGGGGTGCTGTGTCCCTCAGGGACGGCCACTCAGAGCGGCCCGGAACCAGCTGGTCAGGCCACCAGGCAGCCCTGGGCTTAACACCTGCGCCTCGGGCTCTGCTCGTCAGAGCTGCTTGCTCAGTCCCCTCGGTGACCGTCTCAGGTCACGTGAAAGGACACTGAGAAAAAAATGCCTACGGAACCTAGTTGTGCACCTGCTGAGAAATGTCCCTCAGTGTTGCCGCACGTCTATCATGGAGACCCACGGCAGGGACCCTGGGCCCCAGGTCAGGACCCACCACACCACCCCCGGGCCACTGGCCAGCTCACAGCAACTTCCGGAACTTCCTGCTCGTGCAGCCTCTAGTGGCTCCCGTGGCATTTATTTTGGTGAAGGAACCATTTTCTTTGCACCTGTGATGTTTCATCCTCTTTCTTCCTTTTCTACACTTTTACCAGTTTTTATATTTTTTGTGTCCTTTTTACATTTCTTCACTACCTCTTTGGGAAGAGATAATGACGTTGGGGGAAGGATAAATATAATGTGATCACTTCCCCTGGGTTTTCCGAGTGGGGCGGTTCCCTTAGGGAGGCTCAG